AAGGTCCCTTCCAACCCAAACCAGTCTGGGATTCTGGGGTTCCATGATCATGGCCACGTGTCCTGGACTCCATCTCTCTACCCAGAGGATGTGTGTGGCCCCGAGATGGTGGTTGGGGATGGGGGTTTGCAGCCCCATAATTGAGTGGGGGGGCTGTTGGGGGGTGGTGGTCATCCATAACCAACCTCTCGGCTCTTGCAGAACGGCCTCTGGGTCTCCAAGGATTTTGGGGAGAAGTGGGAAGAGATCCACAAAGCCGTGTGCCTGGCCAAGTGGTGAGTGGCTGCCCACTTTGGGGCTGGGGGGGCAGGAGATTGCAGCCTGAGCAGGCAGAGAGACCCCCACCCACCCATCTGATCCTCGCAATGATGGATCAATCTGGATCAATCTGGAGTTGGTGGCATCTTGGGCCACCGTGTCCCATCTGCTTTTGAGTGTCCCCCTCTCCTCTTCTCTTCCCCAGGGGTGCGAACGACACCATCTTCTTCACCACCTACCTGAACAACTCCTGCAGTGAGTACTGGAGCTCGAGCCACCTCTCTGAGGTCCCCGTCACCTCAGAGCATCACAGAACCAGTTTGGTTGGAAAAGCCCTTTGAGATCATGGAGTCCAACCATGAACCCAACACTGACCAGTCCCCGACTAACCCATGTCCCTCAGCACTGTGTCTACACGACTCTTCAATCCCTCCAGGGATGGGGACTCCACCCCTGCCCTGGGCAACCCCTTCCAATGCCTCAGAACCCTTTCAGCAAAGAAATTCTTCCTCTCATCCCATCTCAACTGCCCTGGCCACAACTGGAGCCCATTTCCTCTTGTCCTGTCCCTTGTTCCTGGGTTGAACAGCCCCCCCCCCACCTCTCTCCACCCTCCTCCAAGGGACTTGGACAGAGCCACAAGGTCTCCCCTCAGCCTCCTTTTCTCCAGGCTCAACACCCCCAGTTCCCTCAGCCACAAGGGAACTCAGCACACTTGTGCTCCAGACCCTTCCCCAGCTCCGTTGCCCTTCTCTGGACATGCTCCAGCACCTCCATGTCCTTCTTGGACTCAGGGGCCCAACACTGAACCCAGCACTCGAGCTGCAGCCTCACCAGTGCCCAGCACAGGGTGTGATCACTGCCCTGGTCCTGCTGCCCACTCCAGTGGTGATACGAGCCAGGATGCTCTTGGCCTTCTCTCCCGAGCTCCAGCCAAAAACTCTCTGTCCAGCCAGGCTGGTCTTCCCCACCAGCTCATCTTTCAGCTCATGGGGTCAGCCTACTCCTACACCTTCAAAATTTCCTTCTTGAGGAATGTCCAGCTGTCCTGGACTCCTTTGCCCTTTGGACTGTCTCCCAAGGGACTCTGTCAACCAGGTTTCTAAAGTCTGCCCTCTGGATGTCCAAGAGAGTAGTTCTGCTGACCCACCTCCTTACTTCTCCAGGAGTCAAAAACTCTTTTATCATTTCCTCATTGCTGTGCCCAAGATGGGTTTTGAAAACCCAACACATCTCTCTCAAAGTCCATCAAGGCACCTTCCCTTTCCTTTCATCTGGCCAGCTGAAGCCCCCCATGAGAACAAGGGCTGCTGATCATGAGACTCCTCCTCCAGCTGCTTATAGAATATTTCATCTGCCTCTTCATCCTGGTGGGATGGTCTGTAACAGATTCCCACCATGATATCTACCTTGGTGGCCTTCCCCTTGATTCTTAACCCATAGACACTCAACCCTCTTGTCACCGTCATTAAGCTCCTGACCATCAAAACTCCCCAACATACGGGGCTGCCCCACCACTCCCCCTTCCTTGCCTGTCCCTTCTGAAGAGCTTCCATCCCTGGAAACATTCCAGGTCAGGTTGGACGGGGCTCTGAGCAACCTGAGCTGGTTGAAGATGTCCCTGTCACTGCAGGGGGGTTGGACTAGAGACCTTGAAAGGTCCCTTCAGCCCAAACCAGTCGGATTCGTAGCTGTCCTTCGCAGCACCCCAGTTGTGTCAGTCATCCTGGTGTGTTTCCATGGTGGCAACTATCTCATCATCCAGCCAACCTGGTCTCACCCCTTTCCCCCTTCAAGTCTGGTTTAAAGCTCTGCCAACGAGCTCTGCTACCTCCTTCACAAGGAGCCTTTTCCCTCTTTGAGGTGGATGTCACCATCTGTCACCAGCAGCCCTGGTGGCATGTAGACCATGCCATGATCAAAAAACAACCCCAAAATGTTACTGGTGACACCAGGCTCAGAGCCAGGCATTGACCTGCTGGCTCTTCCTGGTCCTTCCTTCATCATTCCCTGCACCTGGAGGGGTGGAGGAGAATGCTGCCTCTGCTCCTCATCCCTTTACTGGTTGTCCCAAAGCCCTGAAGTCTCCTTTGATTGCCCTCAGATTTCTTGTTGCAACTTCATCACTGCCCACCTGGAAAATCAATAATGGATGATGATCTGAGAGCTGTACCATGGGATCATGGGATGGTTGAGGTGGGAAGGGACCTCAGGAGATCATCCAGTCCACCCCCCCTGCCAAAGCAGGTCCACCCAGAGCAGGTTGCACAGGATGGTGTCCAGGTGGGGAAAATAATGGTTAGATTTAAA